TGTATAATAAAAGATTTTGTATTTAAATTTTACCAAATGGCTTAAATGGTCTACGGATGACAAATTCTGAGTGTAGCCTTGAGCTGAGTCGTGGCGTCATCCTTTCGAAGCGCAGCAACCTCTTCCAGCTTCATAATTGCCATGGCAACGCCAACTTCTACAATTCTTGGGTTCTGAGGGCCAAGAGATGAGATCGGGGAACTGGGAGCGTTTTCACTCTGTTGTTTTCAAATTGCTTTTAGCAATCCCTCATACTTTTGTGTTACACTTCAATGGGCCCCGCGCCTCCCACATTTTCCATTCGCCGTGCCATAATTACAGGTGCAGGACGAGATTGCTCGCAATTGCATTGCGTTTTTCAGCGCTCGTAATCAGACAATTTTGAAGTGTTCTGCATTTAAGTTTCGCTTTAATCAGGCCGCTGGCAGGGGCAGGACAAACTTTTCGGTCAAGAGACAAAAGGCGTAGATAACAGCCATGAAAACAGGAAGTTGCCCCAAGCCACAGACCAGTGTTGCCTATTTTAAATGTCTGACAGATTGGGTAAGAAAATACGGAAAAATGGCCAAATTCCTTATACTAAATTATTTTTTTTTTTCGACTTAGGGGGACTTTGGCCATTTATTGTAGTGAAAAAGGGCTTTGTAATTTTAAACTTTCCATTTTTATTTAATTAATAAGTAAACATTTTTTAAAAACATACTCTCACAAATTGAAATCGATTAGATATATACTTTCGGGGATAAATGCTTTATAAGTTCCACCTTTTAGTTAATTTAGCCTTCGGAGTTTTCTTAAAACTTATTTGTTAATACTGGTGTACCAAGTTATAAATTAAACTTTTTAAACCTACCCAACCGAAATCTGCTGATTGAAAATAGGATTTTCAATTTGTTAAATTTTAACTAGCCTAAAAAATTTTAGCACAACAAAAAATGGATGCATAACAATTTTTTATCGTACAAGTTTCGCATAAAACTGAATTTTGTTGTGCATTTCTTCTGTTATTTCAATTATCTTTGAGATAATTAAATACAAATTTAAATAAATCTGTCACCAGTTGTGTTGTCCACTGATTGAGTGCCTTTTATTTTGTGGTCTTGGCAAAAAAAGATTCCCATTAAAAGTTTTTTTTAGTTTTTAACGAAGCTTTTTTTAAAATACCAACCAAATGTTTACCTTATAATTACCATAATAAAGTAAAACTTTGTTTAGGATTAGATATTTTTTTCCCGATTATGATGGCTCACTTTAGTTTTACACTTTTTAGAAAATATCTAATATCGCAAGGTAGGTTTTCATTAAAATAAATTGTTTTAAGAAAGACTTTTGAATTCTTATAAAGGACAAAACTGGATAAGTTCTTCTTAAATTTAAAATGGTCTGTTTTGGTCTGGAGAAAAAAGTGGGCAGCTCTGTTTTAAGTACTAGAATTGAGATAGAGAACCCAAGCACTGAAACCCAGTAGTCTAAAATTCTTGTTGTGAAAAAGCCATAGTTTGTGTAGTTTTGACTTCATTCGGTTATTTTTCTGTTAACTGATTTCCATATTGTTGTTAGTTTCGCGAACTAAGTACCCATGTATTTATATACACACACTTGGGCGTATGGGTTCACTTTTTCAACTTCTGTTTGGTACAAGGAAAAACTTTTAAACATTTTTAGCACTCAATTTCTGAGCTTTTATCGTGCCCAATGCTCGCTGACAAGTCGGCGTTTGAAATAAATTTAATTCGGAAATGTTGCTTCACCTTCAAGGCATTTCTATTTAAATCCATGAAAAATATGCATAAAGTTAATTTCAATTGCAGTTTCAATTTAATTTAATGGTCAACAAACTCCTTATGCGAATGTGGTCAACCAATGGATGGCGCATGAGGATATTTCCCACAAGTAAATCTGGCATTCCCACAAAATAAAATGTATTTTACAGGAAATACATGAATCAAATGGTAAGCTTATGTTATCGGAAATCTTTCTGTTATTTAATTTCGACTGCAATGACAGAGTATTAAAATATTTTCGGAGTTAAGCAAGTATTAAAGACCTCACTTCAAAGGGTATTATCGCGGCAATGAACGGAATTGCACAAGTGCTTTTAGCCTTCGTTTTGAGTGAATCCCCAACAAAAACATGGGGATAATGCGGGACAGAAGGCAGATTATTCAACAATGCCACTGCGAAGCGTCTGTCTAAGAGCTGCAGACTCGAGTGTCAAATGTATTTTAGCATTTTAAATATTTACATTTGGCATATGGCATTTGCAAGTGTAATGCCAGCCCGAGGCTGTCCTGAGATTAGGCCAAGATGATGGCGCTGGCGAGATAGCCACTTGGTCAGGGCCAACTCAGACGGCAGGAAAGGTCCTTAGAATTTATAATTGTAATTTAATTTGCATAAACTTAAGCCGTCTTGCCTTCGGGTAGCACCTAACAAACACATGTCGAATTAAATGATTCATTTTTATGGTCCATTCAGGGTTGCCCAGCTGAAATTTTAAAATAATATGTTTTAATATTTATGGCAAAAGTTTCGTAATAGGCTTTGTTCGGGCTCAAGAAAGGATTTGGCTAAGAATCTTTTCAAATAGCTGAAACAGTCAAAGCGAAGAATGCTCTCAGTAAAATCCTTAGGAAAAGCAAATGACAGTTTTATTAAACTTTCCTCACAATTACTAAAGATTTATTTCGGCAAGCTTAGCCAAAAATTGAAGCCTTGCCTAAATAAACATTTTCATTTCCTAAAAGTTATTATACTTTAAAAGATTACTTCAAAGCAGATTTATTCATATTTTGGTATAGTACAATTTGCTTGCACTGACGGAAAACACGATCTAAATTCGAGAAAAAATGTATTATTATTTATTAAAATTTATTCAAAATAAAATACTAATATTTGCTAATTTTATAAAGTTATAAAGTTTTATAAAATTAATTTTGTATTTCTATTATTAATTCAATGTTATTTTTATATCACAGGCTATTTTTAAAAAAGTATATGTTTATAAATTATTTTGAATAAATTATTATTTTAAATTCAATTTCATTTTTTTTTTCCATGTGTAGCTACAAAAAAATTACGACAGCATATTTACTCTAACAGAGGTAAAGAGTTAATCGTATGCCATAAATTTTAATTAAATGCTTATACAAATTATAAATAGGAATGCATACATAAATATTTTCATACTCGCTTGCTGCTTATTATGATTGTATTTTATTGGTACATTTGTGGAGAAACAAGATAATTGCTTTGGTAAACATTATATTCATTTCAGATCATCTGTCAACTAGGCTTATTGTTTAGCCATAAAGATATAAATATTTTCTGCACAAATTGCACACATTGGGGGAACGCATTTGCATGAACATCCATATTCAGGTTTCAGAGTGGGTCAATTGGCATTTTTCATATGGATGGAAATGAATTGATTCCGTTCGGACTACATCTGAAATAACTTCTCTCCGATGATTTATTTGCTTTATTCCAACGCCAACTGTTGCACGTGATCCAAGGAAACACAATGATAGGAGGACTAACCTCCAGTTAGGGTGAGGTATTGTTATATTATGTTAATGCATGACGTTGTTGAGCATCTCGAAAATGTACAAAAGAAATTAGCAAACTTGTAAAATAAGAAGGAAAGGCAGCAAAGAAAAGCAACGAATTCAACGGCAACTGTTGACAGTTATCCTGGCACAAACACGCATTGTAATGTCTAACAAGCTTCACAGTAGCAGCAATAGCAGCAGCAGCAAACATCTCATGTCACTCAACGGCCTCAGAGTCCTGACAGGTCCTGCGTCCTTGAGTGAGCGAGCGTCTGTGCGCCGGGCTTTTGTCATTTACATATTTACACTTTGTTCCCGGTGCTTAGCACTGAACTTTGACATGTGGTGGCGGTGCCATGCCACACATCCTTGCCCAAGGATTCCCCTCTCGGAAACAGATATCACAAAAATATAGTATAACACTGACTTCTAGAGCTTTTAAAACTATAAAGTAAACTTGTTCTTTATCAGTCAAATCCGAGTGTCTGTTCGGCTATATGATCACCAACTTATCGGGAAATCAAGGTTGACATGCAGACATATTTCGCCCTTCTCGCCTTTTCCCCTGTTAAGTAAATCGCGAAATTGAAAAAAAAATTGAAAAGGCTTGGCTGTTGCTCTGGTTTATAATAAAATAATATAATATTTGTGATACTATAAAATATTAAAAAAATATTTAGATTTGTTCAAGAACTGTATTCAAAAACAAAAAATGTATTTTACATTTTAGGTATTAATGTTTCTGTACAAATTTCCAATTCGAAATTAATGTCACTTGGAATGATGTATTTGTTCAAAGCCAACAGTACGTATGAGTGATAAACTTTAAAGCAACCTTTTTTCCCACAATTTTTTTCAGGTATGCCTTAAATGGATCAAAGAGCACATTATAAGTTGGTGCGTATAGACCTTAACATTTGTATACAAATAGGGTGCTCCCTAAAGTACAAATCAACTCGTTGCTGAATATAAAACAATAAGGAAAATGAAAGATACTTCCATCTGCAAAGTTATATGTTTTCATTCCCCTGCGATTAAAGTGGAAAACGGAGGCGAGACTCTCCAGCTTTGGCACCTGATATTGTTTTGCATTCTGCCCGTGGGCGGAGGCAATGCAATTTCAGGTGGTAAATGCAGGCCAACACTGCCGGCCTACAGGCGATGCCGCCAAAGTGGCGGCGAGGTAAATGCGATTTCCACCAAAAAGGCCAGCATAACGGCACATAACTGATTCACTTTAATGCAATTTGCATGAATCCGGCGGTTAACAGCCCGATAACAGGGCTCTCTCTCTCTGCTCGCCGTGCTGTGTTTATTGCGCACAGCTCATTCATAAAAGCGAAGAGAGCTTTCTCTCGAGAGAGAAAGAGGGAGAGGCAGAGCGGAGATTGAGTTGTTGCAATAAATACAAAGGACTCAGCATCCGCAGCAACAGTGGCGTCGCAGTGTTGGTCGCAGAGTGTCGTGGCGAAGGACCCCGATTCAGTTATCGCGTAGCCGCCGTGTGTGACGGACAGAATTCGACGCCTGGATTTAAAGTATTTCGTGCGCCAAGTGCATTCAATTAACATAAAATGTAATTAGAGACCCTCGATCTCACGCTCTCTTCGCTTCTATTAATTAAGCGCAAACAAATGGAAAGTGAGCAGCGGCGACAAAACTAAAAGCCATTAAAGCGCCTGCGAATAATTCATGGCATTCCATTTTAAACGAGCAGCAAGTGCAATTGGAATTCAATCAAGTTGAACGGAAATTGTCGCAAATTAAAAGTAAATTAAATATTTCCCCGGCCATTCGGACGGCCTTTATTAGAAGTTATGGCCGTCAGCCCACTTTGTTGTTCCATCTATCAATGTGTGTGACAGTCACGTGTGTGGGTGCGACTGTGTGTGTGCGGGATTGCCGCTGGCATGGCGCTAATTTCTCACACTTCAAACGTGGCCGGGACTGGCAATGAATTTCCGCTCCAGCCTCCTGCGGATGCTTCCGTTTTGTTTTGCTTTTTGTTTTCCCAGCGACTGTTTTCCCAGCTCCCACCCTGATTTCCCGGTGGCGCCCCTTCACCTGCTCGAGTGTTGTTGTTTGGTTAGCTAAGCCTAGCTTCTTTGCCTCCTCGTGTGCCATAAATTAAACAGATTGACGGTGCATTTACCCTGGCCATTGAGTAAACACTCGGACAAGGGAATGGGCACCCATCGGGATCCCCACTCCATTCCTCCTGCGAGCCTTTATGATTAGTTAATGGGATTCAATTTCATTTGAAATTGGCCGCCACAGAACGTGGCAATCGCAGCTGCCGCAGCTTCCTTTCGCTGATTACATAAGGCACGTTCTGGGGGAAACACTTGTTGGGTTTTGCCACCCAAGCAACCCAACCATCCCAACCCAACCAGACACGTAGCCTCGCCAGAAAGGAGTTGCGGGGGGGACGGGGAAAGTGAATCACAGTTGTGCCATTAGGAGCTCGGCGAAATAAATTCAATATAAGCGAGGCCTAATGGCAGTAGCTGAGTTTCCATTTACATTCAGCCTCCATAAATTGGCATGGCTGCGAAAATCGTTGCCCACTTAAGAGGGCCCACATTTAGCAGGCGCAACATCAGCATTGTAAATGCAGCATTTCACTCTCGAGTGGCGAGATGAAAGAGTACAAGTGTGCATTCTAAAAATAACAAACAACTCGACTGAGATAAAAACAGCAACTGCGACTTGGGTTTAAAGTGCCAACGTAAACACAGCCGGAGAAGGAGCGTAAACAAACATCGGTGCAAACTGAAACGGCGAACAAACAGTGGTGAAGGTTGTCCTGTCGGATCCTTGCGATTCTGTTGGTGTGTGTGCGTGTGCCTGTGTTTGTGTGTGTTTGGGCCAAAAGCAAGTGCCAGAAGTAAACACAAAAAAATGTGCAAGTAATGTGCAGCAAGTAAAGTGCAATGCCATCCGTGAAATCCGCCGAAAGTGAGATTCTTCTTGGGATTATTAGGAGCGACAGCATGACGAACGGCATTTCCTTGAGGTCCTGCCTTCTGCTGGCCACCATCCTGGGATTACTCTGCAGGACGAAGGGTGAGTCTGGGTTTTAAGTCGCTCCATCTTCGGCTTAAGCAACTCCATGCCGCTGATTGCTTTGCTTAAATTATGGTGCGGCAGACGGGATAAAAAGGGAGAATTCATTTTACAGCCTTATTAAATGTGTATTACATAAATTACTGCAAGCGTTTCACTCTGAATTTTTATGAGCGTTTTACGCTTTCACATTTCACATTTTCCATTTCCCAGTCGCCTTTTGCCGCTCGCCGCTTTTATGTCATAATGAGTGCAGCCTTTTGATTTAATGACAACTGTTTGCCATAAAACAACATCCATATGCACACACAATGCGAGTCTGCTTGCTTTTATGTGGCCTGTGATTTATTTCACTTCTTATTTTTATGATAATTTATCAAATATGCATAATAAAATGCCAGCAACGCAACCATTTACGGCCTCTGGAAATTTTGCTGAAATTTCATATGAAAGGTGGCAACAGCTTGCCGATCAGATTCTTTACTTACAGTAGGGTGGACTTTGTCAGATACAAATTATAAAGGCCTTGATTTAAGAAATATGTTTAAAAGGTTTAAATTAAATTTCCCTTGGTCGCGCGTTTGGCAATGTCTTTCCTTCTTAAAAATTAAACTTTAAAAGAGTTTATATTTTTGAATTACGTATTAGGAATGTATTATTTGCGGACATAAAATATTAAAAAATGTAAGCCTCCTTCTAGATCATTATCCTTGCATTATATTTTAACAGATAGAACTGCAAAAAGAATTACCACTAACTTTTTCTGACTTAATCATAAAAATAATCGCTTAAGTGCAAAAAAAAACATAAACCCAAAATTCTTTTAAATTTTGAAGCATTTACAATTGAGGGAATTATCTCCCTTTATAAGATACACATAGATGGCTGTTTTTGATAAAATTTTAGAACATATTTTGATTTATAATATCATGATGAAGTTTTAAATCTGTATATGGAGTTGAAGCTGAATAAATTTAAACTCAGGGTCGAGGGATTTCACAGGCACAGCGATGCCCAAATCTACCTCCTTTGTCTTTTACGATCTTTCCTGGAAATAATAAAACATGTTTCATCCAACTTCCTCCAATTAAGTATTTTACCATTTTTGTAAATATTAAACCGTGAAAGAAACTTTGTGATTTGATACGAAGTAAAGTAAAAAGCTCAAGGTATCAAAAATAAATCGATTTTCAGTATAGAGTCCGAGAAAAAATCAAATTACATTTGAATTCGAAATAGAATAAAACTGCATGAAAAGGTTGTTTATTTTCTCAGTTTTATCAGAGACGAAGACTGACGAAAAGGAAAAGTGTAAAGCTGTATAATGTGCCATGTGCGCCAAAACCTTGCCTAAGTGTATATGTGTATACCGTGTGGATTTAAAAAGAAATGTTGAAAAGTGCAAAGGCGTTGAGCTTCTATAGTATACCAACATACTCGAATAAATATTAAAATCATATCGATTTTACATCATTCCTGATACAAGATATAAAATATGTAAATACTAATATGACCTGACCAGTTAAATTTAATATTAGCCTGCTGTTTTATATGCAGTGTTTAAAGCAATACACATTTTTTGGAAATTTGTAGGAAGAAATTCAAATAGTTAAAAACCCATATGATGTCGAAAGTCTTTACGTTAATAGCAAATAAACAGCTAACTACTGCTATTAAACATATAAGAAGTTTACGTGCTCTAAAATGATTCATTACCAGATTCATTATCAGTGTATAAATTGAATTTGTACTGCAAGCTTTCTACCAAAATTCCTAGCAGTGAATTCCGAAGTTAACACTTTTGCATATAAACGCTTTAGTTTAGTCCAGCGACTATCAGATTCCCGTTAATATGTTGACCAACTTCCAAATAAATATGCACTTAGTAGATTGCGCCCTGCAATTGTATTAGCCAGCAACCAATAAAGATGAGTGCGAAGTACTGTACCGACTAACAATATAACCACTCCTCCTTCATATACACAAACAAATCCAATAATGACCAATAATGTATCTGCAATTCCCCAACCAATGGAATGGCAATTCGAACTATGTTATAGTTACATATATGTTCCTGGGAATTCTTAACTTGTTCGTGCCTAAAGAAGCTATATTTGACTTGCTTACATACTACGGCCTTTGTAATATTTTCAAAGTATATATGTATGTACAGATATGTACACTCTTGATGTAATCATTTTATTTATCTTTTGTACTCACAAGCGATAATCGGACATTTTCAAATATGTATATTATAAAGACATTTTAATAATTTCATCCTGGCTTTGAATTTGTATCCAGAAAGCCTTAGAGGCGCGCACAATTAAACATATTCCAATTCGTTTACATATTGAGTAATCTTCCCTTATCTCCCTTATTTGTCCAAATCAAGGTAAATTTATATTATTTTTATATTATAAAGCTTACTTAAATTCTTCAAATTCGTTAAAAGATATTTGTCAAACGAATTAAATAAATAATTGCCTTTATTATTAAATAGCGGAAATATCAGACTTGAAGTACAATACGTGGCAAAATATGGTTTGAAAACCTTATGCATTAATAAAGTTATATTAGGTCTGCAGGAAAATAGGCGATATTTTATTACTCTGGGTAATGATATCAGTCGTTAATAACATAGTTAAGTCTGTTTTCTATTTTATCTATTTTATTTCTTGTAAAAGGATATCGGGTACCTCTTACTTTCATATTTTCTAATATCAAGGGCAATAAAATTGAATATTATTATATTGCAAAGTCATAAATGTTAGGTACTTATTTATTAGTTCATAATTATTGAATGCTGATTTTTAAACTAACACATTTATAAATTTATAAAAGAGGAACATTTCACAATGGTATAAACACTGACTATTGACTTGTTATTTAATTCTAAAAGTTAAAATATGTAAATAAACCAAAGGGGTGCCTTGATGCGTAAACTTCGTTTTAGGTGTTAGGATACACGTAGTACAGGTCCACCCTTCAGTAAATACACAATCGGATTTTTCCGACTTTGCTCGTATGTGAAAAGTCAAATCAGCATGGGATTATTTTGCATTTGTTCTTTCCCTCTCGCAGCTTTGCCCTTTGAGTATGTAGATGAGCACGAGGACTTCAACTACGACCTGGACACGGCGCAATCCCAGGCCAAGTACGACGCCCGTCTGCTCTCGCAGCAGATGCTCAGCGACGCGGAGTTGCAGCGGCAGAGGGAGAGCAGGGCACAGGATAACGCCCTGGATTCCGACTCAGCAGGAGCTCAAGGGATTGGAGCGGGATCCGACTCGAAAGCCGCGTCCTCGGCCCAGGAGGACCTGGAGCCGCACAGCAGAGCGGCCGCGTGCTCCACCAACGGCCACAAGTACACGCACGGACAGAAGGTAGGAAGACGCCGGGGGCGATATTCAAAATCAGGTTTCCATTCAGTCAAGCACACTGTGCCACATTACAATTTTTTATACCCTTGCAGAGGGTATTATAATTTTGGTCAAAAGTGTGCAACGCAGTGAAGGAGACATCTCCGACCCTATAAAGTATATATATTCTTGATCAGGATCACCTCCTGAGTCGATATAGCCATGTCCGTCTGTCCGTCTGTCTGTCCGTCTGTCTGTCTGTTTCTACGCGAACTAGTCTCTTTCCTTTGCACGCAGTATATATGTCGGAACGGCCGGGATCGGCCGACTATATCCTATAGCTGCCATATAACTGATTGATCGGAAATGCCATAACTTTGGTGTTTTTAAAGTTAGGAAGCTGTGACTTACTATGGGTTTTATATTTGGCCAATCAATCCGACCTACCAAATTTCATAAGGATCGGCCGACTATATCCTATAGCTGCCATATAACTGATTGATCGAAAATGCCATAACTTTGGTGTTTGTAAAGTTAGAAAGTTGGGATTTCCTATGGTTTTTATTTTTGGCCAATTAATCCGACCTACCAAATTCCATATGGATCGGCCGACTATATCCTATAGCTGCCATATAACTGAACGATTGGAAATGCCATAACTTTGGTGTTTTTAAAGTTAGGAAGTTGGGATTTTTTATGAGTATTAAGAATGCATCATATGAATAATTTTGGAGAATATAATTTACAGAGTATTCTGCAAGGGTATATCAACTTCGGCTCCGCCCGAAGTTAGCTTTCCTTTCTTGTTTTGGGTAAATTCAACCAATTTTCTTTTAAACAATCAAAATTGGATTGGCTTTTTTGCAACCTACTTTAAATGTATAAATATTAATATTAAATATGTGGAATTAAGTGAGGAGCTAACGCTTTTTACCCTAATAACGTTAAACAATTTTTGTGGCAAGCGCCTACCGAAATATTACAATTTTTTGCTGAACCTTGTCAAATAAAATTAACAATTACTAAACGTATGGAACTTTTTGATATAGGGCTGTAAATATCGGAGTATTTCTTGAGACCGGGAAATTGACTGTCAATTTTACTATGTATAAGGATACTGCAAAATAAATGTTGAAATAGTCATTAGAAGAACCATCATCTGTTCATCTGTTGATGAACATTCGTAGTAATTGAACAAAGGGCTTGCATAATTGCATAATTGAAATTTGTAGCTCGTTACGGCACATGCTATAATATGAACGCCAGGATGCAGAGCAGACTTCCTGTTCCTTGAACCAAGATGTAGCCTCTGCTCATCCATTCATTATGTCACAAAGCCATCAAAACAGCTGGCAATGTGATTGATTATTTGGTTGTGGGTAAATGTAAATGTACGTATTCGCATGTGTATGCACATAAGCCGCAAAAGCACCTGCTAACCGTCTGCTGACCGAGTCCGGAACTCGGAGGAGAAGCATTTATATTGTGTGCTATATCCTTTTTCCTTTCTGCCCGGTAACAGGTGCCCCGCCAGGATGCCTGCGAGGTGTGCCTCTGCATGGATGGCGAGATCTTCTGCTGGTGGGAGAAGTGCGGTAAGTTCTCCGTCGGCTTTTGCCGGCATGCATAATATAACGAGAAACTTTTGCCTTTTCCCCGCAGATAAGGCCAATGTAAACAAGAAGAAGGCGGTGTTGGGGAGCAGCCACAACGTTGGACTCGGACTTGGTGTTGGCCAAAGCGACGGAGACGGAGACAGCAATGGCGATGGTGACTATTCAGATCCATATCGCCACGAGAGCACAACGGGAAAGTCAACAAAAGTGCATAAAGCGGCTAGGAAAGTTGGCAAGCGGCATAAGCATCACAAGAATCAAAAGAATTTTAATGACTACGAAGTTTACCACAGCCAGAGGCAGAAGCAGCCGGATTATAAAAAGTCCGCCATAAAGCAGCAGCTCCAGCTCCAGCAAAAACACAAGAGCGACGTTGGTGGCAACTACAATATAATCAAGCAACACAAACACGACCAGCAACAGAAGCAGCAACAGCAGCAGCAGCACAAGTTGCCGCAGCAGCAGCAGCAACAGCAGCAGCAACAGCAGCAGAGTGTGGCAGCTTTGCCTGTTAATCAGGCAGCAAAGGCAACGCATTATCAGCAGCCGGCTTCGACCCCGCCCCCGCAACATGGCCACCATCCACACCAGCCACCGCATTCGTCCAGCAAAATCTTAAATTTTCCCGAAAACTTGCCAGCTTTGCTGTACTACGACTACAAGACCGAGGAGCATGAGCACCATCAGCACCAGCACCACCAGCAACACTTGCTGCATGAAAAACAGCGCTTGCTGCAGCAGCAACAAGAGGCGTTGGCGCGACAGAAGGCGTCTGAATCTGAATCCGAATCCGCAGCAGATGCAGCCGTTGAACTCGGTGCCGAGTTGGCCGTTGATAAAAACTTTGATGAGGCGGAAACCGACAGCGATATTTTGCCAGAGCCTCCAACAAAGCAGCCCAAGGCAGCAGCCTCACAATGGCCACCCGGCAGCAGTAGCACGGCCAAGGCGTTGATGACAACCCGGGCAGTTGCCACTGTGGCATCCACATCCACGTCTGCGACGACGACGAGGACAACGACAACGATTCCGACAACGACAACGAGGACAGCAACAGGAACAAATGAAATGGTGACAAGCACGCAGTCTGGGGCCACAGTTGGAGCCATAAATGTGAGTTGGGAAGCTTGAGAAGGGTCCTTGCCTCGGTCTTTTTACCCTGGCCATAAGTTTGCCAAGTACTACGAAAAAAACACCGAATGTAAGCACTAGGAAAACTAGCACCAGCTAGCTACGGAGTTATCAAAAAAAAAAACACAGTGAAAGATACTTTTAAAAAATTAGTTGTAGAATGGAAAGTTAGCTTTGGAGATTTAATATTATTAAAGTAGGATAACAAGCTCACTATTTTCGGGGATTAAAAAGAAATTATACAAAATAAGTTAAAATTGAAAGATGGTTATGAAAATGAAATATTAATACAAAACAATCATTAATGATGAAAGATAACTCTAAAAACTATATATAAGTCTTAAAGAGAGTTATTTTTCTGGCCCTTTCATTTTAAAAAATTATTTTTTAGCATGCTTATGACGGATGTAATGTATTTGGGTACGGGGATAGAAGTGATTAGATGAATATCTAGCTCTCAAAGAAAACCCTGTGGCGTATGTCCCAATTTCGGTTAATGCGGTCTGTCAGTAATTTTTCTATGCTGTCTGTCAGGGTATTTTGAGATTCGTTCTCCGAAACTGGTCTTCCTAGCCCCCTATTTTGTATGCTTTTAGCAAGCGACCTCAAGAGCCTGGACGAAGCTTACCCAATTAGGCTCTGGGCCACTGCCACTTCATTGGCTGCCTTGGTGAGGCGCTTGAACTTTACGCTTTCGGTGTGTCCAGTGAGCCTGAAATGCTTCCCGTAATGGGGTTTTTCATGCTCGAGCTGGTTTATTATTTACTATGCAGTCAAGTCGAATTAACAGTCTGTGTTTTATTTTGCGCTTCACCCCGGACAGATGCAACATGATCGCAGTGGACCTGACGACGCGCAGCCTGACGACGCCTTTCATCGATGGCTGACATCCACCGAGCTGAATGCTGCCAACACAAACGCGCTCGACGATAACTTGGAGCAGGAAACGCCGGCATCGACAATAATCGATGATGTTGGCACGACGGCCAACAAGAGTGACAGGAGCAGCAGCGGCATCAGCAGCATCAGCAACGGGAAAGACAATGGCAACGATGCCGTCTTCTTTCGCAGCTCGTACAACGATTACAGCAGTGAATTCAATGGGAGCGTTGTCAATATTGACATTACACTAACTGCAGTTGATGTGCATCCCCGTCGCCAAACGGATTTAATTGCAAATGGCAACAGAACGTCAGGCGTTAACGACAATGGCAACAGCAACAGCAACAGCAATGGCAACGATGGAACAGCAGGGACAACAATGGACCCACAGGCAGCCAGCAGCATCAGGAGCATCAGCAGCAGCAACCAGGATCAACCTCAGCAGAGTCCTGTTGTTCCGCCATACACGCTGACAACGATTATAACTACAACGCCGCTGGCACCAGGGCGTATGTGCAATGTTTTGGGTAAGCAAGCAAGCCAGCGAAGGTCCAAAGAGAATGTTGCTACACAGAGAAATAAATGGCCTCGGGTATTTGTGGTCAAACCGCTATTAGTTTAAATTGCTTTGGCATGTGTCATATCAAAATAAATGTTTAAATCATTCTAACTACGTTGACAATTTTAATAGAAGCAATAAAAATTTTGGAGCAAATATTAAATAAATCTAACTGAGTCTCTTAATAGTGAAAAGCTTTTTCTTTATTGAGATTTAATAAATAAACACTGTATTATACACACAGAAAACTACACACAAAATATTTTAAAATGTAAAGTAAAATGCTTTAAACTAATTTACCTTTACATATTTTTTAATGTTTTACCCTGTTGTTAGCAGCTAAAACTTAGAATCAGAGCTCAGTTTTTCTGTGTGTATATTTAATCAAATGTCTTATGAAAGAAGTTAAAAAATGACACCAAAACAGAAAAATTTGTTTCTCTGTGTAACGAAAGCAACGCACACTCGTCCCCTGTATTTTATTACTGCTCGTCACAATTGCTCACTTCCTAATCCCATTTAAACTGCAAATCGAACTTGGTGCCCTCGTTGTTGTTGCAGGCAAGCTGTATAAAATTGGCGACGTTCTGCCACAGGATACGGGCAACTGTCTGCAGTGCATCTGCACGGATGCCGTGACACCCGACGAGATGCCGAGCGTCACCTGCAGTCCGCACAATTGCCCGCCGCTGGTTCTGCCGGATCTGTTCGATGCGACTGGTTACTGAGGTTACGGGTTTGTGCTGTAAGTGGGCGGAGGGGGGCGGTGGTGCCGGGTGCCAGGTGCCACGCCCCTGCGGCGCGTTTGGGCAGGCGGTGTGGGAGTTTTTGAATAGATCAAATCTCGATTTAAATTTTGAAACCAAAACCACAACTGCAGCAAGCCATTGGAATCGAATCGAATGCAACTCACTCTCATATTCCATGCCAAGGTCTCAACAAACTCAATATAAATTGTATGGATTTCAGTGTAAAGCCCTCCCTATCACGAGTGCCCCGAGCACTCTCTAAAAACAATACCTATCAGCAAATCTATATTATATTCGTGTAAAACTATATATATATATATTGATCTAAACCGACCAGAAAAAAAGAGAAGAAGGACGGATATCGCAGATGAGGCACAGTCTAGATTGTAAGCTGAATGTTTATGCATTTTATATGAATCTGAAGTCATCTCTCTCCACAATGTAGTTGATCGAAGCCCAACAAGAAACCATTAAATGTATACAGCAGTAGAAATCGTAATGAATTTATAGATGTACCACAACCAAAACATATATATATATATATATATCAACATTTACATATATCTATATCTATACCTCTATCTATCTATACCAATGTGTGTGTATTGAGTTCAGTTGGATACGTTTAAAGATTATTTCCCGACTGAGACAAAAGCGCGCAGAGTTTTCAATACATTTAAAAAAAGGAGAAAAGCAAATCGAAAAAAACTTTTACAAATATAGGCAACTAAATCTATAACGAAAAAAACTGAACAATGACAAATAATGAACAAACGTGTGTAATATTTTAATTTTGATATTAAAAGCAAACAAAGTATTTCTCATTTGCATGCATGAACTGTTATTGTTTCGCGCTTCTTATAGAAATTTAACTATACGTAATCTACGAAACGAAAAATGATGTAGTGTGTATGGAAGTTGTTTTAACAAAGCTGAACTTGGCAAAGAAAGACACCATATCGAGTAGTTATAACAATTTTAAGACATAACCCCTAATTGTATTTAAATATATACTTAAAAACTCTCGTATAGATTCAGTGAATTCAAAATTTACAGCGATTTCCGAAAAAAATGTATTTGTTTTGGTTTCTGGTGGCAAAGACAGCATTTATTTCAAAGCAAGTTTAGGCGTGATAGACATTTATTCGGAAGGGGTTAAATTAAGCAAAAACATACTTGAAAAGTAGAAAACAATTTCGATTATAAGGGAAATCAAAATAAATTCGAGCGAGTTTTTTATAAGCGAGGTCGAACAAAACTATAATGTCATATGAAACTATGGAATCAAAATGCAAAATATACGTACACACATATATACCGAGCGTACACACATGCAAACAAACATAAATATTTATTATTGATGTTCCACAAGAGAAACGCAAACAGAAGAGCATATAATAAATTCAAAGAAAAAATAGAACAAATTCTTCTTGGACGAGCGTATTAAAAATGTATACAAATATGCGTATTTATGTATGTGTAAAATAAATGTAACTACAACTCTCACTAATCTGCAGGCTCACACACAGATACACGAGCATCTCTGTGTTTAAATGGAATTTGTGTTTGAAATCAAATTGAAATCAAATCGACATGAATAAACCGAAGCCCAACTAAGGCATTTCGAAACATTGCAATTGTCTATACTATAATTCGGGGGTAGTTAAGCCTATTGGAAAAAGGTAAGTTTGCCTAACAATTAATATTTAGTTTGCTAAGACTATTGGAGCTCATAAGTGAAGCAACACAATCAGTCAAAACTAATCTCTATGCTTCAAAAAGTAACCCAATTTGTTAAAGTGATAGAATGCCCAGTTAGTTTTGCTTTCCAGAGTCAGATATTGTAAATTCGTTGAGGTGTGTTTAATCATAGGCTTCGTTAGAAATAATCTAAATTTGCAAAATATGAATTCATCTATTTATATACGATGGCTAACACAGAACTTGCCTTCTACCGTTGATAGAATTTACGTTCTCTGTGAAGTTCGAGATGAGTGAACCTTGGTTCGAGAGAGTGAACCAAAAAAACTATCCACTCTCATCCCCGGACTCGAAACCAGAGTCCTCGGCAAGCTCGGCCAGGATCAGGGCATGTATCGCCATTTGCAGGGCCACTTCATCTCCTTGAGCAGGAACAGGTCCTTCGTGGGTTTCCCTGGCTGCACCGGCATAGTAGGGAAAGAATGCACGTGAACGACGGCGACTGCGAAGCGATTGCATTGCCAGCTGGTTGTCACCTCCACCATCCATGGCTGGATGTCTTCACTAAGTGCGGTTAATTTGCGATTGGAGTTGGAAGTTGGCTAAAAACAATCAATGGAGTTTGTGCTTTTTTAGAATTTTGAGTGTGTGCCCTCGGGTTGGCATTCAAAATGTGTTTGAATATTCCTTAACCGATGTGTGACAGGCCACACAAAAGCAATACGAATACGGAAATTGCCAACGGCAGATTGGCTGTTTAATAATGTTAAATAAAGCGCATCGTGATGGCCCACTGCCTCTGTTGGCATAGAGGGCTTATTTGTTTTTCGACGGGGTATGTCTCTGTGTGTGTATGTATGTGTGTGTGTGTGTGTGTGTAGCGCAATCATCGGAGTGACAGCCAACCGCAGGGTACTTTCCAGCTGTGTATGTGTAACCGGAAGCGGAAGTCGCGTCTCGCCCCGTTCCTATCCCCCTTCCCTGGCATTACGTATCCGCCCCGTTGCCTGACCGCATAAAGCCATTTGGCCATTTCGGGAACAAGCCCTAACCCACAGCCCACGCTGTGAGGACAAAGTAGTCGGCCGCACAATACTTTGCTGTCAATTTGTGATAACGGCAGCTTTATTTGAAAATATGTGCGACTTTATTTGCCGGCTGCGCCGAGCCGATTTTTGCGGCCAAACTGGCTGACAGCTGCTAGATGGTTTGTTGGTTGGCCACCAGTGGGTGGCAATGGGTTGGATTGTGGGTGGTAAGCCGAGGGCACGTGTGAAATTGAATATTTACAAGGGCCCTTTCAGGTGGAAATCGCTCTCAGTTAGAGGCACTGAATAGTTCGGCTTAAAGCGATTTGCGGAAACCCAGGACGACGCAAGGAAACCAACAAAGGGTTCGGGAGTGGCGGATTCATTTCACATTTCAGCCTTAACCAACCCCGAGTTCATTTTCTGCAATATTATTTTTATGGCCAGCAGCACTGCGGACCCCAAGGTCTCAGCTAATTAAATCTACCATATACATATATAGTATGTGTGTGTTTGCATACACATATTTAAATTGGCTCCGCCCGGCCATATCGCTGGCTGAATTCCGGACCCGGGAGTTGAGGAATGGAATGCACATTTTTAATTACGCTGCACATTTGCATTTGAATTGCGCATTTTACAGGCTGATAAGCCGAAATAAAGGCAACAGTTGTGCCACAGCCAACTGTGCTGTGCAGGGCCAAAGCCAAAGATATGTTGGCTTTAACCACGCCCCCATGCATCTGCACATTCGTACGTATTTTTACTGATTTCCAGAATGTGTAATTTTCAAGTTGACAACTTTTGTCCCAAAGCAGTGACCTCGTTACAGCAGCGCAAGCACGGACCCACATAGCCCGGCTATAGTATATAGTATATGCTATTGCATTAGAGCCTGTGCTCCTTCAAAATAGAATCGGCCCGCAGCCATAACCCCACTAAGCCAAGCACAAAGGGATGGGGGAGAGTGGGGGGTAGAAATGGTGGCACTAGGAGAAAGCCTTTCAATGAGATGCAAAAGAGAGAAAGTTGGAGAACAAAAGGCACATGGCGCTTTTAAATTTTACTGCCACGGCTTCGATTCTCTGTTCGCTAATGGAAACATTGCATTTTCCTTTATTCCTTCTAGTCCTTATTCTCCCTTCATCGGAATGATCGGCCGTGCCGCTAATGGCAATTCATTCTCGAAGTTCAAGGATCCATTTCTGCAGCAGTTTAATACAGAGGATTCCGGGAAAAGTTAAATGAGATTTTTCAATGCTAAAGCTTGTTCCCTTTACCTGTGACTTTTCGCAGAGCTTGCTCTCCTCTAAAACAACGAAACTAATGGCAATAGTCCGCCATTCTATACCATGTTTTCCCACCAACCAAGTGCTGCAGGGGCTTGGGAAAAAGGGCTTTCCAACCGCCTACTGGCCCGTCATTTAAGCCATTTTTAATGACAGGCTGACGCCTGGCGCCTGACAACGGCTAATGATGGCGGCTAGCCAAAGTTTTGCGGCTTTTGCGGATTAAAATTGAAAACGCTTGCATTCATTAAATCTGCAAACTGGCAAAAAAAAACTTAACTAGAACGTGACATGAGGCAGGTGTCGCATTAATTAGTGTAGACATTCACACTGCCTCCCACACACGTGCACACTCCTGCGAAATGAAAGTTTCCTCAAGCAAGCGGTTTAATTTCGCTAAGATGTGTCAGGCCACAATTTGGGTCAAAATGACTTTAGTTAAATTATTGCAAAATGAATTCCACATCGTCTCCTAATCCTTAATGAAAGTGCAATAAGATGTATGTATTGAGGGCACTGGCGTTTGCATAGGTTGAGACCCTCATTCAATAGATAAAATTTAATTATTGCATTATTCATTCGTAGGCACATTTAAGCTGCCTTTGCATCTGAAAACTTAGATTATAGAGTATTTAGGATTTTTTGTATAACGAAATCCACTATGAGGTGCAAATACTATGTTAATTTTAATTTGTTGAATGTGAGTTTGGTACTAAATAAGATAAGATCTCCAAAAATATACTAATATATGCAGTTGGTGGTCTTTTACAGCGCTTAAACTAAACCATTTTGTCAATTTTAGACTAGTCGGAGTAGATGTTAATTGACATTACAGGCTAAAATTGGTTATTATATTAATTGAGAATTGGAAACAAGTGTTGATTGTTTTTAAAAAAAAACATGGTGAAATGAGTATTGAAAACATCGTTCCAGTTATTAAAAACATACCAGTTGATTGTTTTTAAGAAAACACCTTGTCTAACACATTTTAAGTTGTCAACGTTTTATTTAATCTGTGTACAACTCTAAAAACTCTCTTAAAAACTAAATTCCTTAGAGTTACACGTAACCTATGCAATCGGTAAACACCAGATAATGTTATGAACTCCGTAGAAGTAGTTTTTAAAGGCACTAACTACTTCCAAATGCAAAAATGAAGGAATACAAAATGTATTTAAGTTTGTTAAACTTAATAAGCGCGCTAATCATATTCCATGCCAAAAGTTTAGCACGACTTTTCACAAATTTTTAAAGAAGATTTAATAGAGTCTAACAGCTGAGGGCAACAAGCAGCTCTTTTGCAGGCATTCATCATTCATTTCGCACCGTGTCGGGGCCCCAAATAAGAATTTCACAAATGCTTTACGCTCCATTGTGTCCCTCCCCAAAACCCGAAGCCCGCCCATTATTTCTGCCCCACTGATGTGTCTGTTACCTTAGGCCAGCCGGAAAGCAGTGGCAACCAGCTCCGAGATGAGCAGCTGATGGCCGTGACTGCGCCTTTGTGCTCTGTTCTGTGTCTTCTGAGTCTTCAAGTGGCATCCGAGAGGTGAACATACAAATTAATCTTCATCTGGCAGCCACCGACCCACTGGCGCACTGCCCCCCGGGCCTGCTCAAGTTTTCCATTTAAAAGCAGTAAGAAAAGCGACCGAAATAGTTTCGGGGCAATACAGTACAAATTAAAAGGCTTCAGATATAAGAAAGAACAACAAACATTTAATATGTTCGTGCCACAGAGTGACGATTTGTAGTCATTCCTTATTTTAGCCTAATTAACTACTAGAATCTCTCGCTCTTCTACAATAATTAATAATCTATATATAATAATAATTATAATGATTTGGGATTTACTTGTATTTGTACTTTTTGGCATTCAACATTTTTTGATATTTATTTATTTCAAGTTGGTAAGGTATTTTAACATACAATTATAAGTAACTTTTGGTGGACAGCACTTAAAAGCTACAACTTTTTCTTTAAAATAGAAAAGAAAGATTTGGCGTTGGCTTTGTATTTTAGTTTGTTATTTACAATTATATAAGAGGGATTTAACTACTTTCTAGTTATTTGGTATAATCTATGTGTGCTAATGTTGTTCTTATTTGACGTTATACTCGGTAATTGTTCTTTTATAACTTTTCCTGCTTCGATCACTTTAATAATAGGAATTCATTAGCTTTTGACAAAACAGACAAATTTGTATTAATGTTGTTTGGGAAAAAGTTTTGAATACTTAAGCCAAGCGATAACGTTCAAATAGCAGACCATTTGACTTGGGGTATTTATTTGACCGAATTCTATCGTAACTTTAATCTTATTGTGCTGAGTGTAAGCCAACAACTGACTTCATATAAGAAACTCCTCGGAGATTTGGACAGTGCAAACAGTTCGTCGGTCAGTGGCTTTGTGGACCTTTGAGTAATACCTCCGTCGAGGAATGCCTTTCAGCTCGCTTCTACCATCTTCCCTCGGTTAGAAACCGCTGGGGCAAACAAATCTGGTTCAGCTTTCGCTTCAGTTTTTGTCACCCCATAGGGTATTTACCCAGTGTCAGTCACTTCTTCCACACTTTCCTTAATTACTGTCAGCAATTATGAACTGGTTTCATTGGCTGCTCCTGCCATTTTGTTTCTGCTTTTTGCGTTCAGTTTCTGTAGTTCGAGTACACAAAATATTGTGGCTAAAACGGCAAACATGGGTGGTGATCGGTCAAGTGTCGCTTTGTGTAAACACTTTTTGTAAATTGTCTATTTTTAACACTTTTTGTTTGATGTTTCCAACGCAACTTAGTTTTTGGGAACAGTTTAATGTGAGTGGACTGGCTAATTCCATTGCAAAATGCACAAATGGTGTAATTTTCAAGTTAACAGCTCTTGACCCGGTTCGGTGGAGGTCCTTCCCCAAATCCTTTTTCCGGCTGTGCTCCTGTTGATTTGGTTCGCGGGATTTTGTTTGTTTTGTAACAGCGCGCAAATATGCAAAAGCGCAATTGTGTGTTAAGTTGGCTTTGTTGCTACGTGTGTGTGTGTGTTGCATACTTTTAGGCTCAGAGGTAGTAGAAACATTTTATGCGACTGCCACAAGTTTGTTGCGGAAAGTTTAAGCCCGTAAAACTTTTAATACAGTGCCTACCGATTGTTCCCAGGCAGGACCAGCCCACGGTTTCCGTGAACAGTAACAAGCTTTTAGCGAGTACACACATTAAGTCCTTTATTTTTCGGTCTGCCCTTTATGAAAGGGTTCGGCAGGAAAAGTTGTACATATACCTTAGGTGGCTGTTGGTGTTTAACTAACAACAATTTGGGGCAGACAGCGGGTGGGTGAGTGCAGCTCGACAACAAATGA